GCGCCTGTCACACCCCCCAGTGTCTTGTCTGGTGGGAGCCAGCTCTGTGCACGAAACAGCCCCCACCCACCCCAGCCAGGGCCAGACTCGATCAATGACTCTCTCATCATTGATGTTTCTCTCTCTCCCTCTCCTTTCCTCTCTCTGAAATCAATAAAGATCTATTAAAAAAAAAAAAAAGATTTCAAGGGGTACGTAATTTTTTGTTTTTATTTTTTATTGTTGACGCTATTACAGATGTCCTCGGCTCCCTTCCCCCTTTGCCTGCCTTCACCCGGCCCCCAGCCCCTCCCTCCCCTGGCCATCACCACACTGTTGTTTGTGTCCATGGGGTGGGCGTACATGTTCTTTGGCTCATCTCTTCACCTTCTTTCATCCAATCCCCCCTCCCCTCCCCTCTGACAGCTGTCAGTCTGTTAAGAGGCTCATGATTGTCCATGGAGTAATTCTGCTATTCAAATTTAGTCTACATGTGTGCACAAAAACACATACAAGCATGTCTATTTTGCACATTTATACAATAGCACAAATGTGGAATTAAATGTCCCATAATCTATTAAATTAAACTATTATGCACTTATAAAGAAAATAAAACTATTATGCATTAAACTATTATGTACTTATTAAAGAAAATAAAATTATAAAAGCAAATAAAATGTAAATAAAATTATATTTTTAGGTTAACACTTAGAAAGCAATGAGTAGCTGGGAAGGAACAATGACTGAATGTTATGCTTCTAGGGAGCGACTACTCCCGTGATTCATTGATGTTTCCTCCCTGGCTCCTTAGAAGATGGGATATGCTCTTCTCATTTGGAGAAATAATTGAATGGAAGCTTTTCAATGTCCCTAGATTACTTTCTCTTCTGTAAAAACATAGCACATTTACAATCTGACTCCTGTGTGACCCATTTGTCATGGTTTACTAGGGGACAAGTTTACTCAGCCTCAAAGGCAGACATATTTATTTATGGTTTTTGTTTGTTTGTTTGTTTTGTTAACCTACGTGCTCTGAGAGGCTGTGAGTGTCCAGCTTTTACAGAGATCCCAGCATTTCAGACACTATGTGCTTGCAGAGCCACCTATTGTGCAAATACCAACTTTCTGGTTTTGATGATGTACAATAGTTGTATTACCATTGTGGGGAGCTTGCGGATGGGTATGTGGGAACTCTGTATACTTTTTTTTTTCTACTCTCAAACTATTCAAAATACATATATATATTTTAATATATCTTTATTGACTTCAGAGAGAGGAAGAGAGAGGGAAAGAGAGTTGAAACATTAATGATGAGAGTCATTGATCAGCTGCCTCCTGCAGGCCCCCTGCTGGGGATCGAGCCCCCAACCCGGGCATGTGCCCTGACCGGGAATCGAACCCCATCTCCTGGATCCTAGGTTGACGCTCAACCACTGAGCCACGCCTGGCTGGGCAAAAAAAAAAAAAAAAGAAAAAAAAATTAATGAAATGTCTTGGACACGACTTCAAATGAGAAGAGATGGATCTTGGGGAGGGCGGAGCCATAGCCGCGCACGCACCGGGTTATGGGGAAGATGTTGTCATTGACAGCCACTGGCTTCCTGATTTGGTTGCGAGAAGGAAACTGTATGCCAGGTGGTGTGGAGAGCCAGAGAGCCAGCAAAACGTCTCCCCACACAGCCTGGGGACAAAGCAAGCAGCCAGAAAGCTTCAATCATCCCAGTTCCCTGTCTGTCTTTAACTGTAAAACTAAAGACAGGACCCTGGTCTTAGAGAGAGGGACGCTATGATCACAGGATTCCTGCCCCTGCTTTGCCTCGGTGAGTCTCCAGGACCAGGAGGGATCGGTTTGGATAGGTGAGAAAATTTATGGGCAGGGGGCATTATCATGGGAACACGACTTCTGTGTGTTGGGTACATGCCAACCGTCAGTTTCATGGGCTGCGACAGGCTCATGCCTTCATTCTGATGTTCGCATGAAACGATGAGGAACCCACGGTTCAGAGACTGGGGCAGTGCCCTCTCTTTACTCAGCTGAGAAACCGAGCTCGGATGGGATCTCCAAGTCTGTATCCTCTGAACACCGAAGCCTCGCCCTGGCCGTTGTGGCTCAGTGGTTAGGGCTGTTGGCCGTGGCACTGAAGGGTCGTAGGTTCGATTCCTAGTCAAGGGCATGTACCTGGGTTACAGGGTGGATCCGGCCCCCTATTGGGTGCGTGTGGGAGGCAACCAATCAATGTGTCTCTTTCCCATCGATGTTTCTTTCCTCTCTCCCTCTCCCTCCCTTCCACTCTCTTTAAAAAAAAAATCAATGGAAAAATTATCCTCAAGTAAGGATCAACAAAAACAAAAATAATAAACATCACAGCCTTGCCACGAATGTCCCATTCACCTATAGGCGGGCAGGGTCTACGGGCCATGAAAAGCTATGGGTTTGGGGACAAACCAGGAATCGAGAACAGGGCCTGGGGACCATGCTTAAGAAGAAAATTTTCTGACCAGCCCTACCCACAGCCTGATTTTAATCGTCTTCAACTTGAACATAAGGCAGACACAGACCTCGGCCTGCAAAAAGGATGGCCTGGATTAGAATCTTGGGATGGGCTCGCAGGAGCTCTGGGCTGGGAACCAACAGCCCCACCTCCCTAAGCCCCCAGATCCTTCTTCCTGAGTGAGGGGGTGCGGGACTTATTATCTGCCCCAGTTCCTTCCTCCTTCTGGGTACAGCTCTTCCCTTTGGGGTAATACTCCTCCCACACACACTTGAACTTCAGAGGCGGCTGTCGACACCATACCCCGGACCTCCTCCGCAGGGCAGAGCCTGCTGGGCCATCAGGCACTGCCCTCATCCCTCCCCCAGACTCTCTCCCCTTGACTGAGGGAGGAAACCCTCCCGGACACCCCACGGTAAAATACCCAGGGCATCAGTTAAGTGCTAAGGATAAACACTGCAGGCCCAGACACTATGACAGAAAATTACAGGTCAGTGTTCAATGGTCTATAGATGGCGAAAGTAGGACTAATCGGAGAAGCTTTGTTACAATTCCCGATGCAGTCAGAAAGGGGAGCCCTGGCCGGTGCGGCTCAGCTGGGTGGAGCATCACCCCAAGCCGGAGGGTCACCAGCTCGATTCCCAGTCAGGGCACGCGCCCAGGTTGTGGCTTCGGTCCCCAGAGAGGCAACCGATCGATGTTTCTTTCTCATATTTTTCTCCCCCTCTTTCTCAAAATCAATAAAAAATTATATATATATATGTATATATATATATATACACACACACACACATATATATACACACATATATATACACACATATATATCTATACACACACACACACACACACATATATATATATATAAAGAAAGGGTGGCTGGAAGGCTCTCCATAAGCATAACTTCTGAAGGACAAAGGATGGGATAAAATTGAAAGGTAAAAAAAATAAACCCAGGGACCTACCTCCAAGGAGCAGAGTAGATCCGTAACAAATTCAGCCCATCACTTCCTTTCCAGGGCTCGCTCGGGGCTACGAAGAGGAACACAGGAATGGTGAGTTGTCTCTTTTCATATCCAAGTTTCATGATGTTTTTTAAAAATATGTTTTCCTCAATTACAGTTGACATACAATATTATATTCACTCCAGGTGTATAGCATAGTGATTAGACATTTATATACCTTACAGAGGGATCCCCGGGGAAGCTCACCTGGCACCATCCACAGTTATTACTGTGTTATTGACTGTATTCCCTGTGCTGTACTCTACATCCCATGACTATTTTGAGCTACCAATGTGTGCCTTTTAATCTCTTCACCTTTTCCACCCAGCCCCAACCTCCGCCCCTCCGACCGCTGTCAGTCTCTTCTCTGTATCTATGCGTTTGTTTCAGTTTTGTTTGTTTGTATATTAGATTCCGCATATAATTGAAATCACTTGGCATTTCTCTTTATCTGACTTATTTCACGTATCATAAAACTTTCTAGGTCCATCTATGCTGTTGCAAATGGCAGGATTTCGTTTTTTGGGGTTTTTTGTGTGTGTGTTTTATGGCTGAGTTATATGACCTTTTCCCTTTAATCCTCTGAATCCCAAGAGAGTGATAGTGGTCCTGAAGATAAAGAGTGGAGTAAAATATGTGATTGTCTAACCACACACTGTACGCCTGAAACGAATATAAAATATTGAATGTAAAGTGTAATTGAAAAATGAAATGTAAAAAAAAATAGAGTCCAACTAACTCTGAATTCTTTCCAGAGACACTTCCCAAGCCCTCCCTCCACGCCTTGCCGGGGTCAGTGGTTGGACACAATGGTAACGTGACCCTCAAATGCCGGGGCCACTTCCAGAATGTGACATTCATGCTGGGGAAGTGGCGAGACCCTGGATACAGGAAGGAGCAGAGCTCAGGGGGCTACGATGCTGAGTTCCTCCTCACGGGCCTGGCGCCTAAAAACGCAGGAATGTACTTCTGTGCCTACAAGATGACAGGCTCCCATGAGTGGTCAGAGAAGAGTGAATACCTGCAGCTGGAGGTCACAGGTGAGCAGAGCAGCCTCAGGTTTTTCTCCTTGGCGCACATATTCCTTGTCCTGTGATGGTTCCTGGCAGGAGGAGAAGGAATCTAGGAAACAAGAAGACAGATGCAATACCTTGAGTGCAAGGAAACGGGAGCTGAGTGTGGGGACAAGATTCCCATTGGGGCTTCTGAGCGGGTCTCAGTGATGTGGATGTTGACAACGTTTATTTATTATTTTAAATTTTAGTGATTGATGAGAGAGAGAGACATTGATTTGTTGTTCCACTTATTTATGCATCATTGGTTGGTTCTTGTATGTACCCTGACCCGGGATTGAACCAGCAACCTTGGCGTATTGGGATGATGCTCTAACCAGCTGAGCTACCTGGCCAGGACAGTGGGTCAAGGTTTTAGAATAGAGGTATTAATAGAAAATTTGAGGTGCAGCAAGGTCAAGGGATCAAGGGACAATTGTCACTGAAGAAATAGTTTGGTACAGTTCCCAAGAGGCCATGCAGGGCCACATGGGGAAGCACCAGAGTCAGGAAGCAGAGGGAGGGAGAGGACTGTGCAAAAGAGCCTTTATTGTGGTTTCTATGGGAATCAGCAGGCTTAGGATTGGGGCATAGAGGCTGCTTCATGTTGTCTGGGACCTGGCTCTAGGGTGAAGGGAATAGTGGCCCTGAGTCTGAGAGCCCAGTGAAGGAGGTGGTTGGGAGTGTGGACTCTGTCTGGGTTGGTTGATTTGCATTTGAGGGGTGTGCTCTAGCAATTGGCTAACCCTGGGAGGGGAATAAAGTCAGCAAAGTCCACAAATGTCAAAGCTTCAGATGTAGAAAATAAAAGACATGGTTAATAGAGAGAGGTGAGTGAGAATGTCTTCAGGTGCAGTGAAAAATGGAAAGCCCTGGTCCTTTCCTTCACTCCGACTGCCTTGTCCTCTTCAGGATCACTCCTAAATCCTTCCCTCAGTCATCATAAAGCCTGAGATGACTCCAGGTCACAGTATGACACTGATATCTGATTCCATACAACAGAACTGAATGTATCCTTATTGCTCTGCTGAAAATGGGAATCCCAGAACCATTACAAATTGAGAAAGTAATAAAAAGCCACACTAAGCATCATGCTGGCATAAGGCATCCCTTGTTATGGCCCTCCCTTCAACAACAAAAATTCAGCATCCATCTACAAACAGAAGTGCCTATGTGGGAGTTGTGGGATCCAGCACCATATGCCAAGGGACCCTGGGGGAGTCTCACCCACCTGTGCTTCAAGTAATAGCTAGACTTCAGTACCAGCTGTGGAGCCTGCAGGCGATTATGCACTGGTTCCAGCCCCTCTTGGCTGTGGTCCGGGATCACCTGAAGAACATGGACTTATACAACCACCTATGGATGAGAGAGCCTTTGTGTGAGTCTACAGACCAAGACTGAATCATGAAGAAATAGAAAATCGGAACAGATCAGTAATGGGCAAGGAGATTGAATCAGTAATTAAAAAACAAAACAAAAGAAAACCCTCTCAACAACAAAAAGCCCAGGACCAGATGGTTTTACTGGTGAATTCTACCAAATATTTGAAGAAGAAAAATGCCAGTCCTTCTCCAACAGTTTCAAAAAGTTGAAAAGGAGGGACCACTAGCCCTCATTGTACCCTGATACTAAAGCCAGATCAGGACATGACAGGAAGAGTAAACTACAGACCAATATCCCTGATGAATATAAATGCAAAAATTCTCAACAAAATACTAGCAAACTGAATTTACCAGCACATTAAAAGGATCATAGACCGTGATCTAGTGGGATTTATCCCTGGGATGCAAGGATGGTTCGACACACATAAATCAATAAATGTGATGAACCACATTCATAAGATGAAGGATTAAAATCATGCGATCATTTCAACAGGCGCAGACAAAGCAGTGGACAAAATACAACATCTCTTTCAGATACGTGGAATGTATCTCAATCGTAGAAAGACCATATACGAGAAGCCAGCAGCTAACATCATACTCAATGATAAAAGGTTGAAATATTTTCCTCTAAGATCAGGTGCCCACTCTCAGCACTCCTATCCAGCGCAGTACTAGAAGTGCTAGCCAGAGCAATCAGGCAAGAAAAAGAAAGAAAAGGAATCCAAAGTGGGAAGGAAGACGTTAAATGATCACCCACAGAGACATGGGCATTATTATAAATATTTTAAAGATGTGAACATCCAGAAGCACTAGGATGGTGCTTCTTCGGAATTCCCTTTATTTTCTACATTTTCTATTACCTTTGCATCTTACAACTTTTCAGTACAATTTTGTTTAGTCTTGGAAGTCATTTTAATGATAAGTATATAATATGTGAAGTCAATTATTGATCACAAATTATAAAAAAAGCAGCAAAATTGTCTGGCTGGAGTGATCCGGTTGGTTGAGCGTCACCCCCCACCCCAAAAGGTTGCTGGTTCGATTCCTGGTCAGGGCACATACCTGGGTTGCGGGTTTGATCCCCAGTCAGGGAGCATATGGGAGGCAACCAATCAATGTTCCTCTGTCACATTGGTGTTTCTCTCTCACACTTTTCCTTCCTCTCTCTCTAAAATCAATTTTTAAGAAGAGAGATTTCTTGCCCCGCTGGCATGGCTCAGTGGTTGAGCATCAACCTATGAACCACGAGGACACAGTTCAATTCCCAGTCAGGGCACAAGCCCAGGTTGCGGGCTCCATCCCCAGTAGGGAGCGTGCAGGAGGCAGCCGATCAATGACTCTCTCATCATTGATCTCTCTCTTCCCCCCTTCCTCTCTCTGAAATCAATAAAAACATATTTAAAAAAATTTTTTTTTAAAAAGAGTGCTTTTTTTAAAAACGAAGATCTCCTTGACATTGGTCTTGGCAAAAATTTTTTGGATATGACATCAAAAGCACAAGAAACAAAACCCAAAATAAATAAGTGGGATCACATCTAACTAAGAAGCATCCACACTGCAAAGGAAACCATCAACAAAATGAAAAGGCAACCTACTAAATGGGGGGGGATAAAAATTGAAAAATGGTGGTGCTTCTGGGTGAGAGATAAAGGGACCAAGGAGCACAAATCAGTAGCTAAAAAAATAGTAACAGGGAAGTAAGTAAAGCCTAGGAAATATAGTCAATAATACTGTGGTAACTGTGTGATGCCACTTGGGGTACTAGCAATATCGAGGGGAACACTACGTAAAGTATATGATTGTGTATCCACTAAGCTGTACACCCAAAACTAATACATGATAGAAAATTTTTTAAATGAATTAAATAAAAACAAAACAAAATGTTGGTGCTCTTTCCTGAGATAGGGAGATTGGCAAGAAATAGGATTCGAAGGGAGGAAATTAGCAGTGTCATTCATAAATATTCCTGTTAATAAAATAACATCAAACTCCAGAACATGAGCAATTATGCCCCCGGGGTTCCCAGATAATCCTTATGACTGCATGTTTTTGCATCCTGTTTTCTAGACGACCGTGATGGGCTTGGGGCTTCCTCAACAAAAACAGGTAAGATGATTAGAGGTGGTTTGACCACTTACATCCACCTCACGAGGAGGGGGATCCCTCCGATGCCCACTTTCTCCGTGCTTTGGGAGGAACCAGTGCATTTGGGGGAGGCGAGCTCTAAGCCACTCCTGAACATCCTAGTGAGTAAAAAATAAAAACACCATGAGGCGCATCGTCTGCCATCTCTCGTGATAAAAACTATGCTGGAGTTATGTGAGCTTGGGGTGAGTTAGTGTGACTGGGGAATGGGGCCAGGCCCTGCGGAGCCCAGGTACTTTGGGGATGTGTATGATTAAGGCCTTGATCAAACCTTAAAGTCTTCAAAAACAGGTGAATTTTTTTTCCTCTGATTTTGCTTTTCCATCAAGAATTGGCTAAGGTTCTGTCCTCAGAGATTCTTGTAAAAATTAAGGCCTTTGGTAGTTTTATTGATTGACTTTTGGGGGGGGGGG